AAAGATACTCGATTTAAAAAAATTATTCCACGCGGGTATCGTACTCACGTCTCCTGCGTGCCACGGCGAATCCCCTAACCTCTACACCACAGACGCCTGTGTCTCATCCTTGTCTGAAATATTTTTGTGGGGCTCGCATATTTTAGCTCTATTTTTTGTTGTTGACAATTTGATCCAACCCTCTTAAAACTAACGTATTGATATTCGGGATCAAGAGCTGGTCCTTTTGATGAGATTCGTGAGCAACAACCAATCAGAAGGATACTACATGTCACATGACAATGCGGGATCAGTTCTTTTGAAGGCGCATGGAAGGCATCAGCTCTTAAAAGACTTCCGGGACAAATAATAATATGATACAAAGTAAAGAGAGGTTTATTTGGTGTGAACTGGTCCTATCCAATTCCTTGGCCGATCCGACCGGACCGCACCGCCCCCAATCCGATTCGATCTGATGTAATAATGCCTCTGACAAAAAATTATTGATTTTTTTAAACCAATGACTTTAACCTAACTTTTTATAAAAATAATGCCTTTGACCAAAAAAGTTTTTTTAAAAAGAATATAATACCTTTCACCAAAAAAAATTAAAAATTATTAAGATACCTTTGACTAATACTAGTGGTATATGTACTAAGGAAACAACTGTGTGTCTACTGGAGCCAGACTGCGGGTGGTTTGGGAGGGGGGCACCTCAAGTAGTTCCTACTCCTTTATCCTCCCTGTGTTGTTTCTACATGTCTGTCTTACTCTTTCCATGCACTAAATAACCGTTATAGTGCCATTGTACGCTTCTCTTCTCAATTAAGCGAAGAGGATGGTTGGCATGCGTCAATGGTATGTCCTACTTCTTAACCTTTTCCTGCTGTTTCTGTCTGTTTGTCCTACTTTTTCCTTACAATAATTGACCATTATAGTGTCATGATGTTTCTATTTACTTAATTCAGCAGAGTGAGTGTTTGGAGGTCACCTATGGTATGCCCTGCTTCTTCTTCTTCCTTCTGTTGTTTCTGTTTGACTATCTTTCTCTTTTCGTGCACGTGGATAGCGGGTCCTCTGGTGTGGTTTGCTCCTTCTTTCCTATCCCTATCAGCAAAGCATCATAAAATCAATGAGAGTAGGCTTCGACCGCTATCTGGGCTAAATTCAAAATTAATTCGAACCCAACTGAATAATAATATTCTTTATGTGTCCCTCGAGCTCATAAATGACCTTATGCAG